TAAATATATATATGTATGAGAGAGACTTGTGTGCGACCTTAGAAAGTACATGTGCGCATCACACAGACAGGCCAGATCTACACCGAGTGACCACCCCTCGAAAACTTCTCCCATTTAAATCATAACAAAAGAAACCTTATGCGCTAAAAAAAATGCTTTTCATTTAAAAAAAAAAAAAGAATGCCCGCTTGTTCACACACGTGTACCTCTAGTCCCACCCAGTCTTCCAATACTATACACGGACTCTCCACTAGCTAGTTGCTCAGCGAGTTCAAGCTCAAAACGAATGGCAAGCAACCTCGACGACACACGACATTTTAGACGGGTGGTCACCGAGGTGTGTCCTTGAGCAGGACACGATAATAACCCTAACTGAAAACAGAGCGCTTGCTGCGTATTGATAAACCACTATCAACAATCAACAGATTGTGCGATCCGTCTATTTTCCCCACTTTACAGATCCCCTGCGAGAAATACCTTTCATGCCCATTAAAGAACACATATCTGTGAGGATTTTTACTGAAAAACATTTATTCGAGGTCCCAAAAATATAACTTTTCAGTTTCTACATATTCTCAAGTTAAGGAAATAACTCAACTTTGGTGGCCATTTTCTCACTAATTTTATCTCTGAAACCAGGTGACCCCGACCTCCTTCATTCGCAAATATCTCGACCTTTATTCAAGATACATGGATATTTTTTTCATCCAAAGCAAGACAAATGAACAAGCTTTAAGATTATACCAATAACTCTACATGCCCAAAAATTGGCGAGAGCCTGACTCCACCGTGACACATATAAATTCTTTTTCAAATTTATTAATTAATTTTTTCTATTTAAAACAAGCTACGATGCACTGGACGCCAACTCTGGACACCCGTTGAGATAGGCGGCTAAAAACGGCTCAAAAGCGGCCCCGTCAAAGTGGACAAGGCGGTCTCGCTTGAGCGGCTGTGGCATCCAGGGCTGTCCCAGAATCTTCTCAAACAGCTGACACTTGTCGGCTGTCCACACCAGATTTTTCACGCCGGCCTCGCTGTTGTCCAGGTCCAGCGTGTTGAGCTGAAAGAACGTGAGGAGGAAGCCTGTGGGTTGCATCGACACGTGCTGGATGCTGATTGGCTCGGGCAGAATGCGCACGTTGTCCTGGGGAAAAACAAATCGTAACAAAAAAAATGTTAATATTAGGAGGCGGTATAAAAAAATTTGGGGGGGGGGGGGGTGAGATTACATAAATAATTATTTTTGAAAATTAGATAACTAGGTAATTGCATGGATTTACACTTTCAAAACTGAACGTAATATCCATCTTTGACAGGACCCAGCCAAATATATGTTGGTGTACCTACTACTTTTACATTTACTTTCTCCTTCCTCTGGTATTCTTAGGATGTCGAGGGGAGGTGCAAGTTTCGGTCCTGTGCTAGTTGTGTAGCGTCTGTGATAGAAATGTTATGTTGCTCCAGGACCTTTTTAACCCCATCCAGCAAGGTCTTTCTCGGTCTTCCTCTTGATTTAAAGCCGGATTCTTGAGTGTTGTCAGCTCTAGCCGCTCGCTGTTTCTGGGGCATTCTGGTTAGACGTCCCAACCATTTGACTCTTTGACATTCTATGAATTTTTTTACTGGTGGCATTCCAGTTTGTAGACGTACGGTTTCCTTTCTTATGTGGTCTCTTCTGGTGACGTTGATGGTTTTGCGGAGACACCTCATTTGGCATGCATGGATTTTTCTTTCTTCAAGTCTTGTGCCTTTCTTGCGATAAGAGTAGGCTTCAGCCACCACCCGGGCAAAATTCAAAATTTCCTACCAACTGAAAAAGTTTAATGTGTCCCGCGCGCTCATATGACCTTATGCAGTTGCGAGCGCCGTAAAACACTTACAAAAAAAACAAACAAAAAAACAAGACCATGTTTGGCACCGGTGTGGTAATGCTGGTATGAAGAAGCTGTTGATGAGCTGGGATTTCACTTCGGTTGGGATGTTCTTGTGACTGAGCAGGGGTGCTAGCTGGTAGGTCACTGCATTTGCCGCCCTAGTTCTTGTTTCTATTTCTTTGTCCATACGCCCATCTTGTGTGAAGATAGATGCTTCCAAAATATTTAAATTCCTCTACCTATTGGAGTTGTATTCCGTCAATTAAGAATGTTGAGTTTCCGGGGGTTTCTGCTGATCTTCATAACTTCTGTTTTTGAGATGGAGGTTTTCATGTTCAGGTGCTTACATTCTTCATTTAGCTTTGTGGTGTGTTTTTGTAATTCCTCTTCATCTGTATTTAATATACTCTGGTCATCAGCAAATAGAAGCTCGTTCAGTTCAGTGATGTTGTCATTTGCTGCTTATCCATGAAGAGAAGCGGAGAGAGAACACACCCTTGTCTCACCCCAGACCTGATGGGGAGCCAGTCCGATAGTCCTTCTGTTGATCTTATCCATGTAAGTGATGAAGAGAAGCGGAGAGAGAACACACCCTTGTCTCACCCCAGACCTGATGGGGAGCCAGTCCGATAGTCCTTCTGTTGATCTTATCCATGTAAGTGATGAAGAGAAGCGGAGAGAGAACACACCCTTGTCTCACCCCAGACCTGATGGGGAGCCAGTCCGATAGTCCTTCTGTTGATCTTATCCATGTAAGTGATGAAGAGAAGCGGAGAGAGAACACACCCTTGTCTCACCCCAGACCTGATGGGGAGCCAGTCCGATAGTCCTTCTGTTGATCTTATCCATGTAAGTGATGAAGAGAAGCGGAGAGAGAACACACCCTTGTCTCACCCCAGACCTGATGGGGAGCCAGTCCGATAGTCCTTCTGTTGATCTTATCCATGTAAGTGATGAAGAGAAGCGGAGAGAGAACACACCCTTGTCTCACCCCAGACCTGATGGGGAGCCAGTCCGATAGTCCTTCTGTTGATCTTATCCATGTAAGTGATGAAGAGAAGCGGAGAGAGAACACACCCTTGTCTCACCCCAGACCTGATGGGGAGCCAGTCCGATAGTCCTTCTGTTGATCTTACGGCACACATGCTGTTTTTATAAAGTGCCATGTGATGTTCTCCAGCAATTGTCCTCTTACACCATATTATTCCTCTTAGTTTTTAGTTTCGTATGGGGTTTTACCATGCTTGAAACTGCATAAGGTCATATGAGCGCGCGAAACAAGTTGGGTTTTTTTTCAAAACAGTTTATTTCTTGGCCTGATACTGGTCAATATTTCTATTTAAAATTGTTAAAACGCTAAAAATTGAGTGTAAATAGATTGTACATTAAAATTGAAATTTAAAACAACTTTCTAAAGGACACATAAACATTTCATAACTTTCCATAAAGGCCAATGGCCTTCAAAAAATCCAAAATTCTGTTGGGATCAACGACGGAAAAAATGTCTTGCAATTTTTTTGCATTTAAAGTATTTCCTTTGTTTTTTATAAAGTGCCATGATGTTCTCCAGCAATTAACCTCTTACACCATATTCCTCTAAGACTTCCCAAAGTTGACATCTATCTACCCGGTCAAACGCCTTTTCCTGATCCACGAAGACGATATTGAGGTCTTTGTCATGTGCAATGGCAGTCTCACACAACTGTCTTAACTCACTTAAGACGAGCATTCTGGCTATCCCACAACGTATAAGAGTGTGCTGTTTTGGTGCATAACTTCTTAATTCACACGAGTTTTCCATTTTGTTTTCTCTATACATGTATTTGAAACTTCAAAAGGCATGCATCAACATGCATACTATGGAATACGCAAACTCATAGTTACTGACTTGTTTATGGTGGTTCGAAATGTGCAGAAACGTTGTTATTGATCAGCTGCTGGTCGGACGTGTGTGTCCGCTACGTCCTTGAAGAGTTAATGTAAAAATAGCCTCAGTACAGCCCCTGCCTTTTCTGAAGCCAAACTGGGATTCACTGAGTCCAGTCTCTACAATTGGTTTCATTCTCATTTCCAGTGTTTTGTCAAACATTTTGCCCACATGGCTGAGAAGGGATAGTCCTCTGTAGGTTCCACAGTCTCTTTTGTTACCTTTCTTTTTTCCAAATAGGTACAACGACAGCTCGTTGCCAGTCATCCGCTGTTGTTCTTGTCGCCCAGGCCAGGTGAAATATCCTCCATAGCCAGAGTTCACCGATATGGCCGCATAGCTTGATCTCTTCTGCTGTGTGGCGGTTTTTTTTGGTGAGGCTTTTCTTCATAACATGTTGGGTGTCACTCAGCAGTAGTGATGGTTCTGGAGTGGTTTCTTTTCGGTGAGAAGCTGTTTGCTGTTGTTTCTCCTGTAGGATTCAGCAGCTCCTGGAAATAGCGTTTCCATCTTTCCTTAATCTTTGGCTTTTCGTTAGGGTTTTCGTTCTCATCATTGACTATTTCAGTTGAGTTGAATGATTCTTCCCGCATCCTCATGCTTTTAACTCTCTTGTAAAACTCTCTGGGGTCTTCTATACATTTTGTTGCCAGCTATTCTCCATATATACTGTCCAGGATCTGTTCTTAGCTTCTTTTACTACCCTCATTGTTTGGCGGTGTTCCTTTCTGTTTCTAGGAATTTTAAAGAAAAAAATAAAAGCATTTCTATTTTCATCATATTTCGATTAGACAGAATCCATCCAAGCTGTAGATCATCGTGAGGTTTGTATGTACGTATGTATGTATGTATGTGTATGTGTGTACGTATGTGTGTATATGTGTGTGGGTGCATGCATGCATGAGTATGTGTGTGCATGCGTATGTAATACTATGTGCCCATAAAATTGATTTGTAAATCCAAAATAATGTTTCATGTTAAGCGCATAGAGCATTGCATAAGGGGATATGCGCCATATAAATGCAATCCATTATTATTATTATTATGATGTAATCTTCCTCTGTCTTTTGATTTCTACCACTTTTTGAATGCCTTTTTCTTCAGTTGGACGGCTTCTTTCACTTGGCCATTCCACCACCACCACCATATAGTTGTCTTCCTTTCCTGCCCTCCTGTTTTCCTGGTGCCACACTCTTCTTTTAATGATTTGTTCACTCATGCTTTGAAGTGGCTCGTGGGTGATTGGCGGGTGCTCTGGTGTGGTTTGCTTCTTCTTTCCTATCAAACATCTATCGTCTTTATCTCCCCTCCTTCTTTTTTATGTTTGTTACTCTCTTGTAACACCTCTAATCTTCTGGCGCTCATATGACCTTATGCAGTTGCGAGCGCCGTAAAACCTCTACTAAAAATAAAAACTTGAAGTGGCTCCATTTCTCTTCAAAGTCGTCTGGTTGTTTGGGCAATTTGTTAAATACATCTATCAAACGTTCATGTATCTTATCTTTGGTATCGTTATTTATATTTCTGAGATTCACGACTTCTCGTCGTTTCCTTGCTTCTATTTGGCCTTTTCCTGTTTGGTGTGTCAATAGTCACGATGACTGGTCAGTGGTTAGTGTCTATGATGTAGTTGAGTATCACTCTTGAGTCTCTGATGTTTCTCAGTTTCGATCTTTTGGCCGGGATAAAATCAATTTGAGATTCTGTCTTTAGGTCATTCCATTTGTACAAAGTTTTAACTTGACTCCTTTTGTCTTGGAAGAAGGTATTGGATATGACGAGGTCATGTTCTGTGCATAACAGTAATATCATTTCTCCATTGCTGTTTCGATCTGTTTCTCTGTCACTGTGTGGCCTCATGTATCTCTCCCATGTCGTCTTCCTTGTTTCCACTCTGCCGTTAAAGTCCTCCATCATTGTCACATCATCTTTGTCGTCCACCGTGTTTAAAAGATGACTCAGTTGATCATAGAATTGTTGTCGCTGTTCTTTGGGGCATGAGTCATTGCATGGTGCATACTATATATGTGAAGCGTGCTAACCAAATGAGTTACTTCTCGCAATCCATGAATGGAGATATCAGCCAAAAATCAACACAAGGGTCATATTTGTAGACTCTAAACCCATGCCATTCTCTTCAAGTTTAACATGTGTTTTATCATTTCATACTGATAAATTGTAAAACTTCAACTTATAAATTTGATGTCTCTATTTCCATCAGTCTAAAATCTGAGAAGTAACTTATTTTGTCAGCACACTTCACATGTATTAGAAGAAAAGAGAAGACAGCAGCGTGGACAACGGTCATCTCACCGAAACTTGTGCCTGGCCAGAGCGGCTGTGTACAGCAGACAGACAGGTGAGGAGAAAAAGAGGTAGATAGATAGAGCAAAAAAAAAGAAAGTAGAGAGACAGATAGAGAGAAGAAAAGGAGGTAGATAGATAGAGTAAAAAAAAAGAAAGAAAATAGAAAGACAGACAGAGAGAAGAAAAGGAGGTAGATAGAAAGACGGACAGACAGGAAAAAGGACATAATAGACTGACAGACAGAAGAAAAAGGAAATAAATAGACCAACAGAGAGAAAAAAAGAAGGTATACAGAAAGGGAATAAAAAGGAGGAAGATAGACAGAAGAAAAGGAGGTAGACAGATAGATAGAGCAAAAAAAATAAAGTAGAGAGACAGAGAGAGGAGAAGAAGGTAGAAAGACAGACAGACAGAGGAAAAAGGAGGTAGATAGATAGAAAAACAAAAAAAAAGAAAGTAGAGAGACAGATAGAGAGAGGAAAAGGAGGTAGAAAGACAGACAGACAGAGGAAAAAGAAGGTAGATAGATAGATAGAGCAACAAAAAAAAAGAAAGTAAAGAGACAGATAGAGAGAGGAAAAGAAGGTAGAAAGACAGACAGACAGAGGAGAAAAGGAGGTAGATAGATAGAGTAAAAAAAAATAAATTTGTTTTTAAAGTAGAGAGACAGACAGAGAGAAGAAAATGAAGGTGAACAAACCGACAAAGAAAAGAAAAGATAGATAGATAGACAGACACACACACAGAGAGAAAGAAAGGAAAGAAGAAAACTCACCCCAAACCTGTGCCTGGCCAGAGCGGCTGTGTACAGCAGACAGGTGAGGAGCTGCGAGGCCTGGCACTGACCCATTGACCACTCGGTAGATAGACAGATAGAGAGAAGAAGAGAAGGTAGATAGACAGACAGACAGAAGAAGAGAAGGTAGATAGACAGACAGAGAGAAGAAGAGAAGGTAGATAGACAGACAGAGAGAAGAAGAGAAGGTAGATAGACAGACAGAGAGAAGAAAAAGGAAGTGGACAGACTGACAGAGAGAGAAGAAAGAGGAGGTAGATAGACAGACAGAAAGACAGAGGAAAAAGGAGATAAATAGACAGACAAAGAGAAGAGAAGGAGGTAGATAGACAGACAGAGAGAAGAAAAGGAGGTAGATAGACAGACGAAGAGAAGAGAAGGAGGTAGATAGACAGACAAAGAGAAGAGAAGGAGGTAGATAGACAGACAGAGAGAAGAAAAAGAACAGTGGACATACCGCCTGGCCAGAGCGGCTGTGTACAGCAGACAGGTGAGGAGAAAAAGAGGTAGATAGATGGATAGAGCAAAAAAAAAAAGGTAGATAGATAGACAGACACACACACAGAGAAAGAAAGGAAAGAATAAAACTCACCCCAAACTTGTGTCTGGCCAGAGCGGCTGTGTACAGCAGACAGGTGAGGAGCTGCGAGGCCTGGCACTGACCCACTGACCACTCGGAGCTCCGGCCAATCTGCAGGATGGTGTGGGGGCAGCCAAACTGGCGCTCCCGGGAGAAACCTGGGGGGACCAAAGGTGCGGGCGTAGATGCAGAATGATTGTAATTTGTGGAGTTAGTCAGAATGACTGTCAGAATGATTGTTATTTGAGTAGTCAGAATGATTGTAATTTGTGTAGTTAGTCAGAATGATTGATTGTACTTTGTGTAGTCAGAATGAATGATTGTAATTTGTGTAGTTAGTCAGAATGAATGATTGTAATTTGTGTAGTCAGAATGATTGTAATTTGCGTAGTCAGAATGATTGTAATTTGTGTAGTTAGTCAGAATGATTGTCAGAATGATTGTTATTTGAGTAGTCAGAATGATTGTAATTTTTGTAGTCAGAATGATTGTTATTTGTGTAGTCAAAATGATTGTAATTTGTGTAGTCAGAATGATTGTAATTTGTGTAGTTAGTCAGAATGATTGTAATTTGTGTAGTCAGAATGATTGTAATTTGTGTAGTCAGAATGAATGATTGCAATTTGTGTAGTCAGAATGATTCTAATTTGCGTAGTCAGAATGATTGTAATTTGTGTAGTTTGTCAGAATTATTGCAATTTGTGTAGTCGGAATGATTGTAATTTGTGTAGTCGGAAAGATTGTAATTTGTGCAGTCAAAATGATTGTAATTTGTGTTGGCAATATGATTGTTATTTGTGTAGTCAGAATGATTGTAATTTGTGTTGGCAAAATGATTGTAATTTGTGTAGTCAGAATGATTGTAATTTGTGTAGTCAAAATGATTGTAATTTGTGTAGTCAGAATGATTGTAATTTGTGTTGGCAAAATGATTGTAATTTATACTGATTGTAATGACTGGCTAGCAGCATTCTACACCAGCCATCCACTCCAAATCAACAGCATTTAGATCAGGTCTTTTTTGTGTTTTTCCCCCCCGTAAGAGTTTTAGGGCACTTGCAACACAATAAGGTCATATAAATGCCGAAGATTAGAGGTGTTACAAGAGAGTAACAAACAGAAAAAAGAAGAAGGGGAGATAAGGACGATAGATGTTTTAAAGGAAAGAAGAAGCAAACCACACCAGCGACACCCTCCAACCACCCACACAAACAGAAACAACGGAGGGAAAAAGAAAAGACATGCAGTGGAGTCCGCCCAAAGTGAACACGCTTTATTGGAACAATCGGTTAAAGTGAACGATATTCTGTGGTCACGATTGAAACGCTATTTGTTTAAGTAAAAAAAATTAGTAGATAAAATGAACCGGTTTCATGGGGAAATCGGATACAGTGAAGGCCCAAAACGAGTGAAAGCGAAGAACAAACCGACCGTGTCACTGTCGCCAGACTGTGAAAATGATACTGTGTAAATAAAATTCTTTACCTCGGGCATCGACAGACTATCCCAGCTCGGCCTAGGCGACGGCAATCTCAATCAGAAAGAAAGAGCTCTAGTCTTGGCTCATCCGTTGTGTTGTCCCACCCACTTCCCCACTAGACCCACCACAGCGTGTAGCTATTGGTTCTAGGCCTCCACACTACCAAAATGGTTCAACTGAACCTCGGATAAAGTGAACACTTTTTTCTTCTGGTCCCAAAGACTTCACTTTAATTAAGCGGACTCCACTGTAGAACCTACCAGCAACACCCTCCAACCACCCACACAGAGAGAAACAACAGAGAGAAAAAGAACAGATGCACAGTGGAGTCCGCCAAAGTGAACACGTTTTATTTGAACAATCGGTTAAAGTGAACGATATTCTGTGGTTCCGATTGAAACGCTATTTGTTTAAGTAAAAAAATTAGTGAATAAAATGAACCGGTTTCATGGGGAAATTGGATAAAGAGAAAGCCCAAAATAAATGAAAGCGAAGAACGGACCGACCATGTCACTGCCAACAGACTGTGAAAATAACATTTTTTGCCTCGTGCATCGACAGACAATCCCAGCTCGGCGTTGGCGACGGCAATCTCAATCAGAAAGAAATATTTAGAGCTCTAGTCTAGGCTCGCCCGCTGTGTTGTCCCGCCTAAAATGAGTGAAAGCGAAGAACGGACAGACCGTGTCACTGTCGCCAGACTGTGAAAATGATACTGTGTAAATAAAATTCTTTACCTCGGGCATCGACAGACTATCCCAGCTCGGCCTAGGCGACGGCAATCTCAATCAGAAAGAAAGAGCTCTAGTCTAGGCTCATCCGTTGTGTTGTCCCACCCACTTCCCCACCAGACCCACCACAGCGTGTAGCTATTGGTTCTAGGCCTCCACACTACCAAAATGGTTCAACTGAACCTCGGATAAAGTGAACACTTTTTTCTTCTGGTCCCAAAGACTTCAATTCAGGTGAACTCCACTGTAGAATCTACCAGCGACACCTTCCAACTACCCACGTAGACAGAAACAACAGAAGAGGGGAAAAAGAACAGACGTAGAACCCACCAGCAACACCCTCCAACCACCCACACAGAGAGAAACAAACAGAGGTTTAGTTTTAGTAGAGGTTTTTACGGCGCTCGCAACTGCATAAGGTCATATGAGCGCCAGAAGATTAGAGGTATTACAAGAGAGTAACAAACATAAAAAAGGAGGGGAGATAAGGACGACAGACGTTTGATTGGAAAGAAGAAGCAAACCACACCAGAGCACCTACCAACCACCCACACAACAGAGGTGAAAAGAAAAGAAGTAAAAACATAGCAATGCCCCCCAACCACCC